TTGGCCACGGTAGTCCACGCTCTGGTTACATCCCGTCTTGATTACTGCAACGCTCTCTACGTGGGGTTGCCTTTGAAGACGGCCCGGAAGCTCCAACTAGTCCAACGGGCGGCAGCCATGGTATTAACAGGAGCTGGACGCAGGGAGCACACAACTCCTCTGCTGTATCAGCTTCACTGGCTACCGATTAGCTACCGAGCCCAATTCAAAGTGCTGGTTTTGACCTTTAAAGCCCTAAACGGTTCTGGCCCTACATACCTGTCCGAACGTATCTCGGCCTATCAGCCCACCAGGACCCTTAGATCTTCAGGAGAAGCCCTTCTCTCTATCCCACCTGCTTCACAGGTGCGGCTCGTGGGAACGAGAGATAGGGCCTTTTCTGTGGTGGCCCCCCGGCTTTGGAATGCCCTCCCTACTGAATTAAGATCAGCCACCTCGCTAATGGCATTCAGGAAAAAACTAAAAACCTGGATATTTGAGCAAGCCTTCAATTGATCCTCGATGTGAGGTTTTTATCTGACCATGGATTAGCAATTAAGATAACGAATCTGGATGATGATTTTAACTATGAGATGTCCCGATCTGTATTGGTGGCCCAATACTGTGTATGTTACTGTATGCATTTTAATTTTTAATCTTATATGTTTTATCGAATTGTATATTTTAATATGTTGTAAACCGCAATGAGTCGCCGCACAGGCTGAGATATTGCGGTATACAAGCGTACCAAATAAATAAATAAATAAATAAAATGTCTATTTCAGGCCAAACAGCTTCACATCACACATTTTTCCCACACCCAGATTGTGTACACAGACAGAGAGACAGGCACACCCATTTGTACACACAAGCTGTCACACACCTCTACACCCTTTAAGAAATGCTTTTCCGTGCAAACACTACAACACAAGTAGACATTGTGTAGAATCTCATTGATGTATTGTCGAAGGCTTTCATGGTCGGAATCACTGGGTTGTTGTAGGTTTTTTTCGGGCTATATGGCCATGTTCTAGAGGCATTCTCTCCTGATGTTTTGCCTGCATCTATGGCAAGCATCCTCAGAGGTTGTGAGGTGTGTTGGAACTAGGAAAACGGGTTTATATATCTGTGGAAAGACCAGGGTGGGGCAAAGGACTCTTGTCTGCTGGAGCTAGGTGTGAATGTTTCAACTGAACACCTTGATTAGCAATTGATAGCCTGGAAGTGCCTGGGGCAATCTTTTGTTGAGAGGTGATTAGATGTCCCTGATTGTTTTCCCTCTGCTGTTTTGCTGTTTTAATTTTAGAGTTTTTAAATACTGGTAGCCAGATTTTGTTCATTTTCATGGTTTCTTCCTTTGAAATTGAAGTTGAAATTGTCCACATGCACATCTAATCCACACTGGGCATGCATACTCAGCAGCAGAGTAGCACAGCGCAAGGGCAGATGTCTTCACTGTGTCTGGTTGTGATCCCCAGGTTGTGCCAATCAGCTTTCATATGATATTGTTTCTAGCACCCATTTTTTGCTTCAGGCAGTGCTTCTTGTAGGTCAGACCACGGTCCAAAGTGACTCCCAGGTATTTGGGTGCGCTCCTTCCCAGGTGATCCTCAGAGCTCGGGATGCTTGTCTGTTCTTGAGATGAAAGGAACATTTCTGTGTTTTAGATGGGTTGGGGATCAGCTGGGTTTCCCTGTAATAGGCAGTAAGAGCACCTAGATCTTCGAGAGCCTCTGTTCAACCATCTCAAAGCTCCCTGCTTGAGCAGTAATGACCAGAAGCAACCCGAAGCCAACAATATGATGCCGCAGTAAAAAAATAAAAGCCTAGATCTATAATGTCTAGATCCAGGGAAGTCCTGCTCCCCATGCTCTATTCCGCTTTGGTTAGACCACACCTGGAATATTGTGTCCAATTCTGGGCACCACAATTGAAGGGAGATATTGACAAGCTGGAAAGTGTCCAGAGAAGAGGGCAAATAAAACGATCAAGGGTCAGGAGAACAAGCCCTATGAGAAGTGGCTTAAAAAGCTGGGCATGTTTAGCCTGAAGAAGAGAAGGCTGAGAGGAGATATGTTAGCTATGTATAAATACGTGAGAGGAAGTCATAGGTAGGAGGGAGCAAGCTTGTTTCCTGCTTCCCTGGAGACTAGGACGCAATGGAGCAATGGCTTCAAACTACAAGAAAGGAGATTCCACCTGAACATGAGGAAGAACTTCCTGACTGTGAGAGCCGTTCAGCAGTGGAACTCTCTGCCCCAGAGAGTGGTGCAGACTCCTACTTTGGAGACTTTTAAACAGAGGCTGGATGGCCATCTGTTGGGGGTGCTTTGAATGCAATTTTCCTGCTTCTTAGTAGGGTTGGACTGGATGGCCCATGAGGTCTCTTCCATCTCTATGATTCTATGATTCATCATTTTGAACCCATGCATTTCCAAGGGCTTTCTCAAATGAGGAATACTTGAAGGTGGTTCACTATTATCTTCCAGTCAGATATAGCCTGTCAGAGATGGTTTGGCATTGCCTTACTCTGAAATATGATTTGAAGCACCTAGCATTCCTTGGCAACATTTAGAATTAAAATAGTCTGCAATATCAGTATGCAAAGGGATCTTGTAGTACAAGTCTAGAGAATAGCATACTCTTTTGTTGACTGCTTCTGAGGATGTAGACTCGGGGTGTATCCACAATGTAGAATTAATGCACTTTGATACCACTTTGTCTGCCATAGCCCATTGCGGTTGAATACTAGGAGTTGTTGTTTGGTAGCACATCAGCCTTTTTAGGCAGAGTAAATGCAAGACCTTGCAAAACTACAATTCCCAAGTTTCCATAGTGTTGGGTTGTGGAATAGTTTACTTTGTTTGTATCCTTTGTTTGCATCTCACCTTTCTCTCTAGGTTTACAAACAAAGCTGATGCAATATGGAAAAAAACCATGTTGTTGTCATGTGCCTCCAAGGCATTCTTGAACGACGGTGACTCTAAACTGAGTATGTTTACTAGGGCTGGGCGATTTCGTTTCGTTAATTCGTAATTCGTTAATAATTCGTTAATTTTTTCAATTACAAAACGATAACGAACCATTCTGGAGCAATTTTTTTAAAAAACGAATTTTTAAAAAGTTTTGTAAATGCTTCGTATTTCGTTATTGTATTCGTTTCGTTATTGTTTTGAGGTCGTTTCGTTATTATTTCCGCATGTCTGGGCCAGTTTTATGGTTTAATTAGTGAAAAAAAATTATAATATCACACTAACAGTCAACAACAGAGGGAGAGGGAAGCTTCAGAAGGTTTTGGAGGTTTTTTAGCGTATTTCGCGGTCGCGTCCGCCATTAACGAATCGATTCGTTATTGTTTCGGAAATCGATTCGTTAATTTTTTACCATTTACAAAATTTCGTAAATATCGAACTTTTTAAAAGGAAAATTTTGTAATTATTTTAAATATCAAAACAAAAAAACCCCCAAATACAAATCGATTTTAGAAACAAATTTTTCCGTTGTTACCCAGGCCTAATGTTTACCTTGGAGAAACAGAGGCTGTGAGGTGGTGACATGAGAGCCATGTTTCATATTGGAAAGGATGTCTCATTCTATGCAGAGACTAAGATACAATGGAGCCATGGATTCGAATTGCAAGAAAAGAGATTCCACCTAAACATTAGGAAAGAAAGCGCTGTTCAGTGTTCAATACAAACTGCCTGGAAGTCCAGTAGACCCTCCTTTTCTGGAAGTTTTTAAGCAGAGGATGGATGGCCATCTGTTGGGAGGGATTGGGTTGTGTCTTCCTGCCCGGAAGAAGTGGGTTGGAACGGATGGCCCTTGGGATTTATTTATTTCTTCACTGGAGCATTGCAACACACCCAAATACCTGGGAGTCACTTTGGACCGTGCTCTGACTTACAAGAAGCACTGCCTGAACATCCCCCCTTGGGGGTGAGAAGGGCGGGGTAAAAGTGACGGAAATAATAAACATCAAACAAAAAGTGGGCGCTAGAAACAACATCATACAAAAGCTGACTGGCACAACCTGGGGATCACAACCAGACACAGTGAAGACATCTGCCCTTGCGCTATGCTACTCTGCTGCTGAGTATGCATGCCCAGTGTGGAACACATCTCACCACGTTAAAACAGTGGATGTGGCTCTTAATGAGACATGCCGCATTATCACGGGGTGTCTGCGCCCTACACCACTGGAGAAATTACATTGCTTAGCTGGTATTGCACCACCTGACATCCGCCGAGAAGTGGCAGCCAATAGTGAAAGGACCAAGGCAGAGACATCTTCAGCTCATCCCCTGTTTGGGTATCAGCCACCACTTCAACAACTGAAATCAAGAAATAGTTTTCTTAGATCTACAGAGACACTCACTGGAACACCCCAGCAAGCGAGAGTCCAAAAGTGGCAGGCCTAAACCCAGCACCTCAATTCATGGGTGATACCAGATGAGAGACTCCCCCCTGGGCACTCAGAAGACTGGGCGACTTGGAAGGTGCTGAACAGACTGCGCTCTGGCACCACGAGATGCAGAGCCAATCTTAAGAAATGGGGCTACAGGGTGGAATCCTCGGCATGCGAGTGTGGAGAGGAGCAAACCACTGACCACCTGCTGCAATGTAACCTGAGCCCTGCCACATGCACAAGGGAGGACCTTCTTGCAGCAACAGAGGCACTCCAAAGGGCCAGATACTGGTCAAAGGACATTTAACCAACTACCAAATTTGCAAAATCTGTGTGTTTTTTTTCCTTTTTCTTTTTAATCTGTGTGTTTGTTTTGCTCTGTTAGAATTGTAATGCAATGGTTGCTGATGACACGATAAATAAATAAATAGCACATATTTTGCTGTGGAAGGACTCTGCTATATTTTTGTTTGCTTCTGGGACACTTGCTACCCAACTTGCAGCAGTTCAGGGAGGTTGTGATTTGGAAACTATAAATCGCTTCATGTACTAGCAAATCTTGCGACATGCCATCCAACTCTTTTATGATCCTGTGTTCTTGTGCTTGCTCTTTCAGTCTCTCACAGATGATGTCTGGGGGTCCAACTGACCAGCAGTTCTCGAAGGAGGCCGAAGCAGGCTGGACCCAGGGAGACCCAGGTGCCGAGATGCCGAACTCCACTCCGTCCTCTGCTTCCCAGAGCGTCCTCTACCCACGGCCTTACGATGACCACTCCGATTCGCGGAAGTACTTTGCCACCAGGGTATGTCCCCTTGGAGGAGGGGTTGGTCAAGTTTGGTTATAGGATGACCAACCAGGGAAGTAGAGCTTCATACATTTCTTTTGCAAGGGGTGCAGCCACACTGCAGAATGGATGTAGTATAACGTTGTGTTGTCGAAGGCTTTCATAGCCAGAATCACTGGGTTGCTGTGAGTTTTTTGGGCTGTCTGGACATGTTCCAGAAGCATTCTCTCCTGATGTTTCACCCACATCAAAGTTTGTTCATTTGTTCAGTCGTCTCCGACTCTTCGTGACCTCATGGACCAGCCCACGCCAGAGCTCCCTGTCGGCCGTCACCACCCCCAGCTCCTTCAAGGTCAGTCCAGTCACTTCAAGGATGCCATCCATCCATCTTGCCCTTGGTTGTGAGGTATATTGGAAATTAAGCAAGGTAGGTTTTTATATCTGTGGAAGATCCAGTGTGAGAGAAAGAACTCTTGTCTGTTGGAGGCAAGTGTGAATGTTGCAATCAATCACCTTGATTAGCATTGAAAAGCCTTGCAGCTTCAAGCCCTGGCTGATTCCTGCCTGGGGGAATCTGGATATCAGTTTTTAGAAACTAAAATTAGGACAGTAAATAAAGAACAACAGGGTTGTTGTAGGTTTTTTCAGGCTATATGGCCATGGTCTAGAGGCATTCTCTCCTGACATTTCGCCTGCATCTATGGCAAGCATCCTCAGAGGTAGTGAGGTCTGTTGGAACTAGGAAAATGGGTTTATATATCTGTGGAATGACCAGGGTGGGACAAAGGACTCTTGTCTGCTGGAGCTAGGTGTGAATGTTTCAACTGACAACCTTGATTAGCATATAATGGCCTGATAGTGGACATCTAATCATCTCTCAACAAAAGTTTGCTCCAGGGACTGTCAGGGCATTATTTGCTAATCAAGGTGGTCAGTTCAAACATTCACACCTAGCTCCAGCAGACAAAAGTCCTTTGTCCCACCCTGGTCATTCCACAGAAATACTATAAACCCTTTTGCCTAGTTACAACAGACCTCACTACCTCTGAGGATGCTTGCCATAGATGCAGGCGAAACGTCAGGAGAGAATGCCTCTAGACCATGGCCATATAGCCTGAAAAAACCTACAACAACCCAGTGATTCCGGCCATGAAAGCCTTCGACAATACATTAAGCAAGGTAGGTTTATATATCTGTGGAAGGTCCAGGATGGGAGAAAGAACTCTTCTCTGTTGGAGGCAAGTGTGAATGTTGCAATCAATCACCTTGATTAGCATTGCAAAGCCTTGCAGCTTCAAGCCCTGGCTGATTCCTGCCTGGGGGAATCTGGCTAAAATTAGGACAGTAAATAAAGAACAACATTCTGAAAACAGGGGAATTCCAGAGGATAAACAATCAGGGCCAGCTAATCACCTCCCAACGAAGCATTCCCCTAGGCAGGAATCAGACAGACCTTGAAGATGCAAGGCTTTGCAATGCTAATCAAGGTGGCCAATGGCAACATTCACACCTGCTTCAAACAGACAAGAGTTCTTTCCCCCGCTCTGGACATTATTCCACAGATAGATAGATACTATAGATAGATAGATAGATAGATAGATAGATAGATAGATAGATAGATAGATAGATAGATAGATAGACACACACACACACACACACACACACAAACACACACACCTCCCTTTAATTTCCAATATACCTCACAACCTCTGAGGATGCCTGCCGTAGATGTGGGTGAAACGTCAGGAGAGAATGCTACTAGAGCATGGCCATACAGCCCGGAAAGCTGACATGAAGAATAGGGAGAAAATTAGAAGACAGGTAGAAAGGAACCACAGAAATGTCCTTGTTCCTCCATGATTTCCCCATATATTCCTTCTTTCTTTTGTTTACTTCTTCTGTCTTCATATATGTATTTATTTTCAGCCAGGAGCATTTGACCAAGCCATGGATGACCTGAAGGCCCACGTTGTTACCAACATGGGAGAAACGGCCCACAGCTTTTGGCTATTGACTGAGTAAGTTCTTCTTAGGATTATAAGAGTTTCTTCCATGGATAGATTTTGGGAAATGGTGGTGTCCGCTCTGGGTTCTAGTCTGAACTTCAAAGGAGATCTTCATAGCAATGGACCTCTTTCAGGGAGAGCTTCAAGAGAGCCTTGGTGTGACGGCGCGAGTGGCACTACCTATGTGTAGAACTGTTAGTTGCAACTGTTGTATCATGCTTAATCCTGCCTTTTTACCCTGCTGATGTATAGTTGGATTGATTGGTTATTTATAGCTGTCAATCAGTGTTGTTTACTCCAGTTGTATTGCTTTCTCAAGCTAAATTGTTTGGCTCCACCTCTTCCTGGAGGAGGGGAGTGCTTTTCTTTTTTCATTCTACCATCAGAGTTTTTATCAGATGGACGCGAGTAAGAGACTTGGCTCTAAAAGCCCCTGCTTAAATTACCGCTCAGCACCAATTCTAAGGTTTTTTACCCTTGGGACTCATGCTTTATGTACACATCGTCCTGGACAACATTGAGGAGACCCAAGAGCCTTCAAACCAGTTCTTTTGGCACCAGAGGAAGGTCTTGTCCCTTCAACATAGGCCATTGGACTGGGGTTGTGTTTATTCCGATATTCACAGCCATTGAGGAAAGAGGAAACAGGAAAAGCTTCTCAGCTGCAAACTGCTTGGACTTCAGGGATTGTAAAGTATATTTCCTTTATCCCTGTTGAAACATCAAGCTTATGCCTGAGAAAGATAACTCATTGTGAACAATAAATACCATTTCGAGTTATCTGTTGTGTTTTGGTCTTTGGGAGTTCCAGTTTCCTATAGGAGGGCAAGAAGCAATCTCCTGGGGAAAGATGCCACGTCCATGCCTCTTTCACTAAGAGTTATAGCCCCCAGGCGCATGGCACACTTGGGATGTTGACATTGAGACTCTGAGTGTGTTCAGTTTCTTAGTGATATTTACAGGGCATCCACACTGTAGGATTAAACCAGTTCCAGACCATTTTAACTACCAGTTAAAAGTGGGATTAAATCGCATTCATTCTAGTGCAAAATCACATCTGAAGGGCACTAGCAATAACAACTTTGAGTCCTAAGAGAAGGAGTATTGCCAAGCTCTGATGGGAATGGTCACTCTTGATGGGTTGCTGCATTTGTCCATAGAATCATAGAATCAAAGAATTGGAAGAGACCTCATGGGCCATCCAGTCCAACCCCAAAGCAGGAATATTGCATTCAAATCACCCCTGACAGATGGCCATCCAGCCTCTGTTTAAAAGCTTCCAAAGAAGGAGCCTCCACCACACTTCGGGGCAGAGAGTTCCACTGCTGAACGGCTCTCACAGTCAGGAAGTTCTCCCTCATGTTCAGATGGAATCTCCTCTCTTGTAGTTTGAAGCCATTGTTCCTGCGTCCTAGTCTCCAAGGAAGCAGAAAACAAGCTTGCTCCCTCCTCCCTGTGGCTTCCTCTCACATATTTATACATGACTATCATATCTCCTCTCAGCCTTCTCTTCTTCAGGCTAAATATGCCCAGCTCCTTAAGCCGCTCCTCATAGGGCTTGTTCTCCAGACCCTTGATCATTTTAGTCACCCTCCTCTGGACACATTCCAGCTTGTCAATATCTCTCTTCAATTGTGGTGCCCAGAATTGGACACAGTATTCTAGGTGTGGTCTAACCAAAGCAGACTAGAGCGTGGGGAGCATGACTTCCCTAGACCTAGACACTATGCTCCTATTGATGCAGGCCAAAATCCCATTGGCTTTTTTTTGCCGTCACATCACATTGTTGGCTCGTGTTTATTGTTGGCCCAGAGTGTGGTGGAGGCTCCTTTTTGGAAGCTTTTAAACAGAGGCTGGATGGCCATCTGTCAGGGGTGATTTGAATGCAATATTCCTGCTTCTTGGCAGAATGGGGTTGGACTGGATGGCCCAGGAGGTCTCTTCCAACTCTTTGATTCTATGATTGTATGTTTCGTTTCCTTGAATATCTTCCTTTCTGCTCTGGCCAAATGTTGTCATATTAAGTTCTTCTTGGGTTCCCTGTGTTACCATTCCCAAAACAAACCTAATACAGCACAAAAAGGAGCTTTCCCAAGTGTTCTGGTTGAAGTTCCTTGCAGTTGAAAGTGTGCCTATTTTTCTCTCTTTGTGCTGCCCCCTTGTGGATACAAAGCAATGTTTTCCTTTCTAGGTTCAATTCTATTTTAATACTTTTAAGATATAGGCTTTAAATTGCATTATTTGGAATGCTGTGAGCCACTTGGAGTCTTAATCGTGAGATAAAAACCAACAAATAAGAATAATTTTTTTTCATGTCAGGAGCGACTTGAGAAACTGCAAGTTGCTTCTGGTGTGAGAGAATTGGTCATCTGCAAAGACGTTGCCTAGGGGATGCCTGGATGTTTTGATGTGCAAACCATCCTTGTGGGAGGCTTCCCTTATGCCTCCGCATGGGGAGCTGGAGCTGGCAGAAAGAGCTCATCCGTGCTCTCCCCAAATTCGAACCTACAACCTGTCGGTCTTTAGTCCTGCCGGCACAAGGGTTTAACCCATTTTCTTTCTTACAATGAGAGGATCTTAGAAAACTGTGCTGTTTTCCTTGATTGTTCACAATTTGGAATTTTAGAGTGTGCAAAATGTATACATTATTGTCTTGAATAGAAAATAACATTTTTCTACCCAGATATATTATTTTGTGCACATAATAGGCTCTTCGCTGTGCAGAAAATTATGGCTGGAAGTCACTGCAAAAATATTTTTATTTTAGCATGCAAATAAAACCTCAATCTGCAAAGAATCATATTATTCCAAGACTCCAGGAAACACATTTTTTAGACTTTTTTCAGTTGTGAACTTTTTGACACATTTGGAGTCTTGAGGTTTCCTCAAAATAGGAACTCTTAAGGTTTTAAAAAAATACTTCCAAAGGGGTATCTATCTGTAGAGCGAATGGAGTTTGACACCATTGAACTGCCATGGTTCAATGCTATGGAATCCTGGGAGTTACAGTTCTACAAGGTCTGAGCCTTTTCTGCCAAAGAGTCAAACTATAATTCCCAGGATTCCACAGCATTGAGCCACAGGAGGGAAAGTGGTGTCGAACTGCATTCATTCATTAGATGAAGGGCTGGAAGGCATGATCATGAAGTTTGCAGACGACACCAAATTGGGAGGGATAGCCAATACTCCAGAGGACAGGAGCAGGATTCAAAACGATCTTGACAGATTAGAGAGATGGGCCAAAACTAACAAAATGAAGTTCAAGAGTGACAAATGCAAGATACTCCACTTTGGCAGGAAAAACGAAATGCAAAGATACAGAATGGGGGACGCCTGGCTCGAGAGCAGTACGTGTGAAAAAGATCTTGGAGTCCTCGTGGACAACAAGTTAAACATGAGCCAACAATGTGATGTGGCGGCAAAAAAAGCCAATGGGATTTTGGCCTGCATTAATAGGAGCATAGTGTCTAGATCTAGGGAAGTAATGCTCCCCATGCTCTATTCTGCCTTGGTTAGACCACACCTGGAATATTGTGTCCAATTCTGGGCACCACAATTCAAGAGAGATATTGACAAGCTGGAATGTGTCCAGAGGAGAGCGACTCAAATGATCAAGGGTCTGGAGAACAAGCCCTATGAGGAGCGGCTTAAGGAGCTGGGCATGTTTAGCCTGAAGAAGAGAAGGCTGAGAGGAGATATGATGAGGGCCATGTATAAATATGTGAGAGGAAGTCATAGGGAGGAGGGAGCAAGCTTGTTTTCTGCTGCCCTGGAGACTAGAATGAAACAATGGCTTCAAACTACAAGAAGGAGATTCCATCTGAACATGAGGAAGAACTTCCTGACTGTGAGAGCCGTTCAGCAGTGGAACTCTCTGCCCCGGAGTGTGGTGGAGGCTCCTTCTTTGGAGGTTTTTAAACAGAGGCTGGATGGACATCTGTCAGGGGTGATTTGAATGCAATATTCCTGCTTCTTGGCAGAATGGGGTTGGACTGGATGGCCCATGAGGTCTCTTCCAACTCTTTGATTCTATTAATCTGCACTCGCAAACGCCAGAGAATAGTCTGTATTTTCGGTCATAAATTATTTTAATAGCATCTTGCTGACAGTTTGCATTGGCTCTCTCTGCAGAGTGATGTAAGCCAAAGGATGGGTCTTCTGCCTCAAGATACATACAATTTGGATCTCAACTGAGTCACAACAATTGAAAGAGATGATGTGGGTAGAGTAGATGCCAGGAAGATAAATGCAATTAGACCTGGTTTACACACAATTCAATTCAATTGTTTAATTCGGAGTGAGAAGTGAAAAGCTGTTGATGGCGCAGTGGGAGAGGCAGCCTTTGTTCCAAACTATTCAAAATCAACAAGTGCACAAATGTGCATCACATCTATATAAATAAAAATGTAATGTTCGTTTGTGATATTCACAGAACTCAAAAACCACTGGGGGAATTGACACCAAATTTGGAGAGCATACACCTAACAACCCAATGTATGTCTTTCACTGGAAAAAAAAACTTATTCTATTTGACTTTCAACGAAGTCTCTACTCATCATTCCATCGTCAAGACTTTGGGATAGTTCCAGCATTTTTAACACCCTATTACTACAGAAAAGCCTCTCAACAAACAGTTGTTTGGGAGCCAGGGATAAAAGCAGGGTTGGCAGGAGTGAGTAAAATTCACCTCAAATAGTTTGTTAAAAACAATCCTAAAACACCTTAGGTTGGTGGCAGCTTTAATTCAAAGGAAAGTTTAAAGATGAGCAATGTTCACTTCTTCATAACACATATCCATCATCGTCTCACTATCATACTGGAGGCACAGGGGTGGGATTTTTTTTAAAAGGAAAGGAAAACCTCTGGGAAGATCCATCCTGCCTGGGCATAATATTAATAAGCCTCCAGCCTTGCATCATTCTGTCATTTTTTGGGTTGTATCCAAGCAGCGCTTTAGCGAATTTCTTATTAATTATGAAGGCTACTCCATTTCTTCGATGTTCCTCTTGTCCGCAGTAGTAGATCTGGTGGTCATCTGATGTGAAGTGGCCCATTCCAGTCCATTTCAGTTCGATGACCCCCAGAATGTCTATCTTTAGTCTTGACATCTCACCAATAACAACATCCAATTTGCCCTGGCTCATAGATCTTACATTCCAGGTTCCTATGGTGTGTTGATCTTTAGAGCATCGGATTCGTCGTTCACCTCCAGTACCGTCGGCCGCTAGCCTTCCTTTCGGCTTTGAGCTAGCTGGGTCATCACATCTGGGGCTAGTTGAACTTATCCTCTGCTCCTCCCCAGTAGCATTTTGGCCATCTTCCGACCTGGGAGTCCCATCTTCCAATGGCATACCGACATCTCTCTGGTTGTACTGGTCCATTTAGTTTTCTTGGCAAGGATACTGGAGTGGTTTGCCATTGCCTTCCCCAGGGATCACGCTTGGTCTGACCTCTCTGCCACAACCGTCCCGTCTTGGGTGGCCCTTCACGGTTTCGCTCATGACATCATTGAGGTGCTCAAGCTCCAGCGCCACGACAAGGCGGTGATCCTTTGCTGGAGGGCAACCTTTTAACTTGTATGCAGAACACATCATGCGATGTGCGGGGCTTGATGAATGCAAAGCTGGGGTGAAAATTGCTGGAAGAAACATTAACAACCTCAGATATGCAGATGACACCACTCTGATGGCCAAAAGCGAGGAGGAGCTGAGGAGCCTTCTAATCAAGGTGAAAGAAGAAAGCGCAAAAGCTGGGTTGCAGCTAAACATCAAAAAAAACCCAAGATTATGGCAACAAGAATGATTGACAACTGGAAAATAGAGGGAGAAAATGTGGAGGCCGTGACAGACTTTGTATTTCTAGGTGCAAAGATTACGGCAGATGCAGACTGTGGCCAGGAAATCAGAAGACGCTTCCTTCTTGGGAGGAGAGCAATGTCCAATCTCGATAAAATAGTAAAGAGTAGAGACATCAGACTGGCAACAAAGATCCATTGCCTAGTCAAAGCCATGGTCTTCCCTGTAGTAACCTACGGATGTGAGAGCTGGACCTTAGGGAAGGCTGAGCGAAGGAAGAGAGATGCTTTTGAGCTGTGGTGTTGGAGGAAAGTTGAGAGTGCCTTGGACTGCGAGAAGATCCAACCAGTCCATCCTCCAGGAAATAAAGCCCGACTGCTCACTGGAGAAAGATACTAGAGACAAAGTTGAAGTACTTTGGCCACATCATGAGGAGACAGCAAAGCCTAGAGAAGACAATTATGCTGGGGAAAGTGGAAGGCAAAAGGAAGAGGGGCCGACCAAGGGCAAGGATGGCATCCTTGAAGTGACTGGACTGACCTTGAAGGAGATGGGGGTGGTGACGGCCGACAGGGAGCTCTGGCGTGGGCTGGTCCATGAGGTCACGAAGAGTCGGAGACGACTGAACGAATGAACAACAACAACAGTCTTGCGTCTTTTGTTATATGGGGCAAGAGATGATGGGCTGAAATGGGTCTTGATATTGCAGCTCCGGTTAATACAATGGGTGCCAGTCAAGTAAACAAAGGGGTGCTCAGGATGTTGGCATATATAAAGAAGACCTCACAGAAGGGGTCTGGCACAACACTATAAATGAGGGAACATTCCCAGGATAATTCAGGTAATATTGTGGCTCTTCCAAGAAGCCCATTATGTGTTCCCTGTGCCTTTTCCAGGATATTGTAAAGGTATTATGTGAAATGTGTGGCTCTCCCCTGAGGTCCATGGTCTGGGGAAAGGCAACATTCCAGGGAGAGGTTCCTTAGAATTAAGGAAGATGTGCTTACAGCCTGTCCCAATGGAGCCGAAGACCCTAGAGTTCATATTTTTGGGGTCCAAACAAAAAAGCCTTCCCCAAAGTCCAGATGGACAGCCAAGTATTGTTGATTCTATTTCAAAGGTCTCACTCATTCTGATTCTAAAAATGTGAGCTTGCTCTTCCTAAAGTTGACCTTCCTCTCTCTTGACCGCCTTCTTCCAGGATCGACCACTGGAACAATGAGAAGGAGCGTGTCCTGGTGATCACCGATTCCGCCCTCCTCATCTGCAAATACGACTTCATCATGTTGAAGTGCCTCCAGCTGCAAAGGGTCCCCCTCAGCTACATCGACCGGGTTTCCTTGGGTCCCTTCACTTTTCCGGAGAGGTCATTGGACAAGTGAGGCACATGTGATTATTATTACCTTTTGGATTCTGGGTGGGGATGTTTTCCAACTTGCTATTGATGTACTATAAGCAAATGAAGCTTCCAAAGGTCAGGGCAATATACCTCTGAGTATTAGATGTTTCATGTGTTACAGTTGGGAATCATAGAATTGGAATAGACCCCAAGGGGGGAAGGATATTAGGGAAAACAACCCCAGAAAAGGTGGTTTCTTAAGTCTGATGCTTTAACCCAGGTCTACGAAGGATGAGAAACAATCCCAGAAAAGGTGGTTTCTTAAGTCTGATGCTTTAACCCAGGTCTACTTGAATGATACGAGGGAAAACTACCCCAGAAAAGGTGGTTTCTTAAGACGGATACCCTAAAAATGATGGAAAGGGGAGGCTTGGAAGTTCTCCCATTGCTGCCAATGCGCCGGATCTTTCCGGAGCAAAAATTGATCTTTTGGCTGGTGGATTGAAAAATGCAATTTTCCTACCCAAATTCGGGAGGCTCCTGAAAAACAGATTGGGGAGGAGGGTGTGGACACCAAAATTCAGACACTGAAAATGGCAAGGGGTTTCACCAAATTGCACACCGCTAGTAGAATCTACTGCTACGTTGAGTCATGAAGGAGCCTCCTTTTCTGTAGGCTTTTGGGTGGCCATCTGTTGGGAACGGTTGGATTGTGTCTTCCTGCATGGGGTCTACTTGTGGAGAGAAAAAGCAGGATATAGATAAACATAAACATAAACAATAGTTAAACAGAATGGTCTTTGGGGTCTCTTCCTATTGTAGGATTCTTTTTCTGTAGGTGGACAACCGGCAACCCTTGAACCAAATCTGCCCAAATTCAGAATGTCATTTGGCTCCTTAGATACCACTTTCAGAGGTTTAGGAGAAAAATAGAGGTGCGGATGAGCTATTTTGGGAAGAATGGGATCCTTTGAAGGGTTTTGTTGGGTGCTTTGGCCCACCCTCCCCTTGTTAAAATGGCCCTCTGGCAAGGCCTGGCGCCTTGGAAGTGGAGCCAGTTACTCAGTTCGTCGCAATGAGCCATCCATTCAATGGGGCAGCCTCTGCCAGCTTCCACTCCCAAAGTCTTTGGGCTTTACAGTTATATCCTTTGTGGGTAATTATATCCTGTTAGACGCTTGCTTTTGGGGAGAAAAATATACATATATTAAATAGGCCATCATCATCGTAGTCATAAAAGCTCCCCAGGGGGAAAAAAGTAATAATTACTAGGGCTCTTATGAATGGATGCATGGGAATGGAGCTGGCAAGACCAAACACATGCTGGGCTTGGAAAAGCCTTCCTTATGGTTGCTTCTTCTAACCTCCAAGGCTACAGGGTGTCCAGGGTGCATTTTCCTTGATGCATTCCAATGTAAAGCCTTAAAGGTAAAGGAGTCCCCAAAATTCTGGTTGGCATCCTCCATTCAGTGGGGTATTGATCTGTGCCATATCATGGCTGGACCAGTGGAGCAAAGATGTCTAGAGAAGGTGGCCAATATGGTCAGATATGGAAGCCAAGCCCTACAGCAGTTTTTCTCAACCTGGGAGTCAGGACCCCTTGGGGGGTTGCAAGGGGGTGTCAGAGGGGTTGCCAAAGACCATCTGTTGGTCACAGGGGTTCTGTGTGGGACGTTTGGCCCAATTCTATCACTGGTGGGTTTCAGAATGCTCTTTGATTGTAGGTGAACTATAAATCCCAGCCACTGCGACTCCCAAATGTCAAGGTCTCTTTCCCCCAAACTCCACTATTGTTCACATTTGGGCATATTGAGTATTTGTGCCAAGTTTGGTCCAGGTCCATCATCGTTTGAGTCCACAGTGTTCTCTGGATGTAGGTGAACCACAACTCCAAACCTCAAGGTCAATGCCCAACTAACCCTTCCAGAATTTTCTGTTGGTCAATGGAGTGGTGTGTGCCAAGTATGGTTCAATCCTATCATTGGTGGAGTTCAGAATGCTCTTTGATTGTAGGTGAACTATAAATCCTAGTAATTACAACTCCCAAATGACAAAATCAACCCCCTCCCAGTGTTCACATTTGGACATACTGAGTATTTGTGCAAGTTTGGTCCAGATCCATCATTGTTTGAGTCCACAGTGCTCTCTGGACGTAGGTGAACTACAACTCCCAAACTCAAGGTCAATGTCCACCAAACCCTTCCAGTATTCTTTCTTGGTCATGGGAATTTTGTGTGCCAAGATTGGGTCAATTCCATCATTGGTGGAGTTCAGAATGCTCTTTGATTGTAGGTGAACTATAAATCCCAGCAACTACAACTCCCAAATGACAAAACCCCACCAGTATTCAATTTGGGCATATCAGGTATTTGTGCCAAATTTGGTCCAGTGAATGAAAATGCATCCTGCTCATCAGATATTTACATTATGATTCACAACAGTAGCAAAATTACAGTTATGAAGTAGCAACGAAAATAATTTTCATGGTTGGGGGTCACCACAACATGAGTAACTGGATTAAGGGGTCAGAACATTAGGAAGGTTGAGGAACAGTGCTCTAGACATTAAGATTCCTATTGATGCAACCTAGAAGAGCATTGGTTTTTTATCTGCTCCATCACACTGTTGACTTATGTTCAGAGTATGTCAAATGCATGCTACTTTTTGTGAAGTTCTTTGAACCCGTTACTGTCGTACATATTCATAAGTTCATCTGGATGTTTTTGTCTGATGCAGAATGTCCACATCAGACAAATATTACAAGTGCTTGTCTTGATATACATTAGACACTATGTTGTTAATAAATCCTAGAAATCACACTGGCTTTTTAAAGCTGCTACATCACACTGTTGACACATGTTCATGAGTATGTATCAGTGTGGGTTACATATACATATGTCTCTTTGAGATGGAGACCATGTTACTGTCTGGATGAGGATGAATAAACTGAGGATCAATCCTGACAAGACAGAGGTCCTCCTGGTCGATTGTAAGCCGGATTGGGGTATAGTGTGGCAACCTGTGCTGGACGGGGTTACACTCCCCTTGAAGTCACAGGTCTGCAGTCTGGGTGTCCTCCTGGACTCATCACCTATGCTTGAAGCTCAGGCGTCAGTGGTGGCCGGGAGAGCCTTTGCACAATTAAGACTCGTGTGCCAGCTGCAACCATACCTCTTGAAGTCGGATCTGGCCAGGGTGGTCCATGCCTTAGTCACCTCCAGATTGGATTACTGTAATGCACTCTTCGTGGGGCTGCCCTTGAAAACAGCCCGGAAATTTCAATTGGTTCAACGGGCGCCAGCCAGGTTACTAACTGGTGCGACTTACAGAGAGCGGTCAACTTCCCTGTTTAAGGAGCTCCATTGGCTGCCATTCATTTTTGGGTCCCAATTCAAGGTGCAGGTTCTTACCTACAAAGCTCCAAACGGTTTGGGACCCGCCTACCTGCGTGACTGCATTTCTGTGTACAAACCCATCTGATCTCTTCGATCATCTGGAGAGGCCCTGCTCATGCTCCCACCTCCTTTGCAGGCGTGATTGGTGGGGACGAGGGAGAGGGCCTTCTCGGTGGTGGCCCCCCAACTCTGGAACTCACTTCCTAAGGATATAAGGCAAGCCCCCACACTGGCAGTCTTTAGGAGGAGCCTGAAAATGTGGCTGTTCCAGTGTGCCTTCCCTGAATAAGGAAACAATTCCCAGCAAAATGTCCTCAGAAGCACTTTATTTATTTATTTATTTATTATTTATTTATTTATTTAAAAGTTTTATATACCGACCTTCTCACCTCTCTTGAGGGACTCAGACCGGTTTCCAACCATAATATCACATACAGTTTCATTTTACACTAAAATATTAAAACAGTAATTACATTCAAAAACTACAATGGTCAGTCGTCACACTAACTCGTTGTTCATCATCCTTCATCCATATCTGGCTCACTCGTCGAATGCCTGTCTCCATAACCACGTCTTCAGCTGTTTCCTGAATGTCAGGATAGAAGGGGCGGTTCTGATCTCCAGTGGGAGAGTTCCAGAGTCGAGGGGCCACCACCGAGAAGGCCCTGTCCCTCGTCCCCACCAGACGCGCTTGCGAGGCCGGTGGGACCGAGAGCAGGGCCTCTCCAGACGATCTTAATAATCTTGATGGTTCATAGGGGAGAATACGTTTGGAGAGGTAAACAGGGCCGGAGTCGTTTAGGGCTTTAACTACTCATTGGATTGCTCTCCCTTCATTTCTTTTAAAACCCTCCTACCAGATACATCCTACCTCTGTTCATACCCAGTGTTTACTTTTTAAATTTTAAACTATTACATTTGGCCCGGCCATAGGTTTTTAAATCCTTGTGTGTTATTGTTTATATGTGATTTATATTAATTGTATTGGTTTTTGTTTATTGTTTTTCTGTTTTATTGATGTGTTGTCGGCTTGGCCTCATGTAAGCCGCTCTGAGTCCCTTGGGGAGATGGTGGCGGGGTATAAATAAAGTTGTTGTTGTTGTTGTTGTTAGGACCTCACAACCTCTGAGGATGCTTGCCATAGATGCAGGCGAAACGTCAGGAGAGAATGCCTCTAGAACACGGCCATATAGCCCAAAAAACTCTATAACAACCCAGTTATTCCAGCCATGAAAGCCTTCGACAATTATTATTATTATTATTATTATTATTATTATTTTCATTAATACTTGAGGTGAACTACAACTCCAAACCTCAAGGTCAATGCCCAACTAACCCTTCCAGAATTTTCTGTTGGTCAATGGAGTGTTGTGTGCCAAGTATGGTTCAATCCTATCATTGGTGGAGTTCAGAATGCTCTTTGATTGTAGGTGAACTATAAATCCTAGTAATTACAATCTCCCTGTCCAGAGAAGAGCCTGGAAATTGTTGCTTATGAAAGGAAAGAGAAAGAAGTGGAAAATCGTTTGAGACAAATATAGCTCTCTGAGGATGAGGGAAAGGAGAGTGTATTTCCTTATCTTTCAACATTTCAAGGATGAAAACTGGGAAATGTGTGGCCAAGAAACACCAGAATGTGGTCAC